TCTGCGCAATTTTCTGGGCAAGTTGAGAGCTGCAGCATCAGGCAGTAAAGTCCTTCTAGAAGGGTTCTGCTTTATCTAAACCCCTAGCTCTTTTAGTTTCTGGCTCAAGGTTCACCCTCAAACATCATTTGTTTAGGGAATAAAATATGGAAACTGAATCCCAGTCTACTGGGCAGCGGCGGCGGGGGCAGCGGGGGGGGGGGGGGGGGGGCGACGACAATGACACAGATGACGCATTCCTTCCACCAATGCAACTGGTAAGCCATCAGAAACTAAATTCTACACAGGTAATCAACAGAGGGGCGGAGCGTTTGCAATTTGACTTCAGACTCTGGGAAAGTCTCTGTGTATCTTGGAAAGGTCTGGGTTTTTGAACTTGCTGGAGTAACAGAATGGGTCACGTAGCAGATAAATTGTACTGGCAGTAGCAGGGGCCGTCACTGATACACTCAGTGACGACTGACAACATATGCCTTTGGGGAAATATTGGCTATTAAGAACTTTTAACGAGTACTGTCTTTCCACATACACTTTCTGTGACACAGCGCTATGGTGTCCTTCAGGTTTTTTTTTATTTTATTTTATTTTTTTTTAATAATAATCCTTTATTTTTACCAGATTGTCAGAGAGTAATACTGTGAAAATTCTAAAACAATCCCCACACAGAAAAATGTCCATGTTTGAAGGCAGATGATTCTAAGCACAGGCTTCAAGCCCTTTGTCTCGGGCTCATTTTAAACACTTGACTCCATAAAAACCTTAGTATCCTCGTTAAACTCAGAAGTGGCCTTCCTGAGAGCAATACTTCTCCTCATAGACCTCGCTGGCTGGGGCTTGGTGTTCGCTCCTTTGATCTGGAGACTCTGGACTCGCATTGCAACAATGCCCTCTGGCTCTTGGAGCCAGGTAGGAGGCAGCCTCGGGAACACTGTCCCTTTGTATATAATTTGTGCTTAGAAATGTAGGTGGCTAGTTCTTTTGTCTTAGCAAAGGGTACCGACCCAACATGCCTGGAAAAAGAAGCTGTAAGGAATAACGTATTTTCTGCACAAACTCATGACGCCATGCTAATTAAACTTATTTACTAAGGGCAGGAATGCACATGTGCCTTTTGGCCTGTGAGGGTTGATATCAGGTTCTGAGAAGCACAAAGCCCTACCGGGTTCTGAAATCCGACCTGCATTTGAAACTGGATTGGACGTTTTGTTTGTTTGCTTGCTTTAAATACAGAGCTGGTATTTACTCACTTCTAAAGTGTTCTGATTTACAAGGTAAAATAAAGGTGCTTTGAAAGCAAACAAATTAATGGAAGCATATTTAATTTGGAGTATTTGCATGGGCACCCAGCACAGTGGTGTCTTCAGGCAATGAAGCAGCAACTGGAACCATAGTTACTGGAGCTTCAAAGGAACTGACGCCAACACCCGTGAGCCAGGAAGTCTGGAAAACAAACTGTCACCCAGTCCTAAGATACAAGTGCTTTGCTGGCTGCAGGGCCATGACCCTCGGACCTCTTGTTTTATTGCTCATATGTTAATTCTCATTAAAGGTGCTGAACCCAAATTTGCAATTAGGTAGGTACTACTTTTTCATATTTTGAAAACCATTTCCAACACTTTCCTGCGTTTCGGTACAGGCAAATGAAAATACCTTCATAAGCTAACAATTTCTGTTTTGTTTACTATGCTGCCTAATGCAGACAGGGAGCTGAAAACATGCTTCCGTGAGTAAAGAAGTGGGGGCTGTTAGTCAGATGTGGATATACTGGGTCAGCCAGCAGTATCGTTTTCATTTTTGATGACAGTTTTGCAGAGATACCTTATGGTTTCAGGAGTTTAATGATGGGAAGTGAGAAGTTGCCAGAACTTCAGCCCTTCCGACTGTGAGCAGTTCAGTGAGTTCAGAGGGCAGGAGAGTCACCCAACCAGTTCCGGGACGGAGCCCAGCGTCTGTACTGTCGGTGAGATTCTGAATCAGAATCAAGCGTTCCACAGACCTCGGGTTGAAAAGTCCTATCTTGATGCATCGTGTCTGTGGGATTATGCTGCTTCCTGATGATACTCAGTCATACAGGGCTCTGATGAGCATGTGGAGAGCCACGGTCTAACAGATGCCTGGACTATGGAAGACAAACTCTGGGTTCTTCAACTGACCGATTCAAAGACAAAAAACATCCCCAACAACATGCAGCTTCATTGTGATATACTTAATTGCAAAGAAGTAATATTGCGGGAATGTACACAGGTTTTCAAAATGCATTCCTTTTTTTTCCTTCTATATTATAGCTGAGTATTACAAAATGCTTGTCAAAATATTTTCAGTGATGGAAATATTAATTTTACATATTAAGTGTTAAGGCTAAATGTACAAGTGAGCTAAATAAACCCTTTCTTTCCCTCCATGAAAAAGAAAGAAAGAAAGAAAGAAAGAAAGAAAGAAAGAAAGAAAGAAAGAAAGAAAGAAAGAAAGAAAGAAGGAAGGAAGGAAGGAAGGAAAGAAAGAAGGAAAGAAAGAAAGCCCAATGCAGTCTGGATGTCTTAATATTTTCCATAATGGTTAAAATAAAATGAGCATCTATGTTTCACTTAAAAATCATTTCATACACTAAGCTCACCCGCCTGTCCAACTTTGTGAAACATATGCAAAAAATGGGTAATTCTTACCCTCAAGTGATTTACATTTTACCTAGTATAACCAAGCACTCCTGTAAGAAATAAGGAAGAGAGGTCATGAGACCTTCAGCTGTTGGCAAAAGCAGATGTTTTTAGAGAGCTAATTTTAAGAACTAACCTTGCCTTATTTGTACACATTGATTCCCGGCTATTTCTGTCAACCAGCCTTATGTATCAAAATACTACAGCCATCTTGAAGACAGAAATTAGGGAATGACTACAGGGTAGTGTTTCTGTATAATTGAATGCTACTGTATCAATCAAAACACTTTAGGAAGACTTCTTTTAGTGGTATGGGGAAATATTTATAATCTAATGATGGACTTGTAAAATAAGATATAGTGTGGTCTCAGCTATGTAAAATGGAGTCTGTTTAAGGTAATAAATGAGCTACAATTTTCCCTGCATTTTCCATGGATGTTTGATCTGGATACTTTTATTCTTTCAATATACATATTTTAAATCTTCTCAGCTTTTCTAATTCTGTAAATGCAACATAAATAATGTAAAATGTTTGTCAAGATAGTAGCATTAAATCCTTGATATGCCCTTTTCTTTGGGCACTTTGCTATGCTCGACACGCATCTAAGCTGGGCAGTCTATTGCGGTCCTTGTTCTACGTCTCTTGTGGCTGTGGTTCAGGGCACCACCATCGATCCTCTTTGAATGGTCACTTCCCTGCCTCTATTGATGCCCTTCTTCAATGTGCCCCTCAAACAACAGACAGACCGATGTCACCACCGGTGTATTCAATATCTTTCTATGGCTTCTCACCTTATTGGGTTGGAAAGGCCAAGTCTCCCAATGGCCTCTGAAACACCATGTGTTCTGGGCCCTGTGGGTCTCTCATCTCAGCTTTGTTAACTCTCTTCTTTAATTCCTCTACGCTGGCCAATACTGTCAGTATGCACCTGTTTCAGAGGTCCGGATGCTCACAGCCACTTAGCTGAAGATTTTTCTTCCAATCCTCTGTCTTCACTAAGCCCTTCCTTGAACACTTCCTTGAATTAGAGACTCCCTGTCTGTCTGCCCTGGATTCGTTGCTCGCTTTCCTGTTTTATTTGTGTGTCTCATTTATTTCAGCACATATGTTCCTACTGGCTGTACTCTCAGTTCCTTGAAAGTAAGAGTTTTATTTGGTTCATTGCTGAATGCTCAGTGCTCATTACAGTCCTTCCACAGTGAGTAGACAGCCACTGTCTGAGCAACAAACAAGGAGACTTCTTCCTTTGAGTCGGCTTTTCATGTTTTCTTTCCACTCTTCTACTTCATCTTTATCCTCTAGCGGTGGCTGTTGGCCACACCGGTGCCCTTTGCTTTGCTACTCTGTCCTACAACACTGGCATTTCTCATGTGGCTTCCACTTCACACCTCAGCCTCCATACAACTTGGTGCATGTTTTGGTACCGTGTGAGTCTGCACTACCTCTTTCTCTTTCTCAGGATCTGCCCTGGCTCAGACAAGGTCAGTTCTCATCTTTCTAGATTTTAAATGTCTGTTGTTCCCAAAGCAATAGGAGATGCTATTTATTGTGTGTAGGAAATGAGGTAAGGATATTGGCCATATTGCGGGGGGGGGGGGGGCAGCTCCCACATTTGTTGACCCCAGGGACTCTTGAGGAGTGAAGGATAAGAGATTTAGATAGAAATATAGAGGGGAGAGAGACAGACAGAAACACAGGATAGCCTCAGGAGGGCCTGAGTCAAAACCCACCAGCCCCCTATGTCTCTTCTAAAGGGCTTTTTATAGAAATGCCAAGGGGTAGAGCAAAAGATCTCCCGCTAGCACAGCCAAATGCAGACCATCCCAGACACCTGATAACCATGCACATTGTCAAGCCATCCTCTAATGCAGCCCTGCTGTGTAAAGCAAGCTCAGATCTCACTACGAAACCTCTGTGGACCCCAACACCACTTCTTATATAATCTCATGTCAAAAGAAAAATGGAATGTATCAGAAATGGGAAGGCAGAGAGAGAGAGCTAAGGATTAAAAGCATGATTACTGGCCTTGGCGCAAACCCTGAGTATATTACTATCATCCATGAGCATTATCTCCCTAACTTAGTTTTCATACATATTTGAACTATTAAAACTGAAGCACAATTTTAAATGAAACCAGACAGCTGTCGATGAAGCGTGAGTGGCTCCTCTATGACAGCGCACAGCTTAGCAGTCTTTAGGAATCAACTTTACTTTCTTATCTAGAATCTTACCCAGTGACTCACAGCACTGGTCTTGTTGGCCATAGGTCATGCTTAGAAAAGTCTGAATGGCATATCCTCCCAGTGACTGGAGCAGACTAACATACCATACAGGTGTATGATTACCTGGTTATGAATGTCCTCTCATTGACAAAGATCCAAGAAGGGTACTGGTGATCCATCATTGTCATCCTTTCCCCCTTCCCAAGATGATCCGAGGATGCCCTAAAACATTAGGAAAGTGTTAATGTGTTGTCACGGGGAGACATCCCTAAGTTAGTGTCTTATTTAAATTTAGCATTTGCTTATGTCTCTAATGTACATGAGGATGTGTTTAATCAGTGTAAGGAATCACAGGTTTTCTACTGCAGCCGCCTCATCTAAAGTGGCTGGACCCTGGATCAGGACAAGATTCCAGGCACTGAAGTCAAGTCCTGGCTTGAGAGCTGACTAAGGATAATGTAATAGCCTCCAATTACCTACCCTACAGGCTCTGAAGCCTGAGGAGATCAGATACCAAGGATCACGTCTATTATGAGTTCACATAAATGGCATCAGGGTGTGGTCGCAAATATTAAGCATATTTTCTGTTTGGTCTGTTTTGTATAAATACACACATGATTACCATTGTTTTGAGCCTAGAAAATCACAGGCACTATATTCAGAATCAAAAGGCAGGCTAGAAAGAAAAGCTCAATTTTCTTAATAAAAAGGATCTATATGGGATTCTTTTTACTTTCATAGCTGGTTGTTTGGGTAGGTTAAGAAGAATGAAATACATTATATGTACTAATTTCCTGGGATACCGGGGGGAAGGAAGAGGAAGAGGAGGAAGATGATGAAGGAGGAGGAGGAGGAGGAGGAGGAGGAGGAGGAGGAGGAGGAGGAGAAGAAGAAGAAGAAGAAGAAGAAGAAGAAGAAGAAGAAGAAGAAGAAGAAGAAGAAGAAGAAGAAGAAGAAGAAGAAGGAATAGTTATTCTACTAGTCTCATAAAATCTTGCTGCACCCTTTCCCTTCAAGCACTTTGCTGATCTCAACCGACATCTTGCATCAGACTCTAAGCTGGATAGTTTACTGGGTCTGTTTGTCTTCCTTCCTTCCTTCCTTCCTTCCTTCCTTCCTTCCTTCCTTCCTTCCTTCCATCCTCCCTCCCTCCCTCCCTCCCTCCCTCCCTCCCTCCCTCCCTCCCTCCCTCCCTCTCTCTCTCTCTCTCTCTCTCTCTCTCTCTCTCTCTCTCTTTCTTTCTTTCTTTCTTTCTTTCTGCTTCTACCATTCTGACCATCACATTGCTTTCTTGGTACCAACCTTCCTGGATTTCACTCTCAGTACACACAGCCTAAGTCTCTTAACCTGGCATTTACGTCTTTACTTGTTCTCAAACTCTCTTTACAAACACAGCCCGACAGCATTTCTTCCAGGCCTCGTGTAATGAAATTTCATGCCATCAAGTGTCCCCTCGTCTGTTCAGCTTGATCACAGTGTAATCTCCACTGTAGGTCCAGATGGACTCACGTGGGTCCTTTACAAATCTCCTCATGCTGCTTTAGCTGCACCACTCTGGTTATGTATTTCTGCTTCCCACATTGTCATTACTGATTTATGCCTTATTTCCTTTTCTACTGCCCTTGTTCAAATTGTGAGACTGTCTCTTTGATGGCACATAATTGCCAAAGGTCTGTATCATGAAAGACTCATGCTGGAAGGGACAAAATCCAAGCTACAAACCTCTCCATGCTATGCTGCCTTATAACAACGACATAGTTGGCCCATGAGCCCAACAAACCGCTGTCACCCATTCCCAAGATTTGATGGATCTGGACGTCTGGTTACACAGACCTTTCTCTAGCATCTAAACCGAGTTTTGTTCATTCTTAGAACCTACAAAAATGCATTGCGGATATCCCACACCAAGATTCTCCCGTGATGATGATGTGGCCGAAACACTACCTTCTCCCTCCTGGATCAATTTATGGGTTATTTTCCATCTCTTTAATTTACTCTGTACCTCTCCTCCCACATTTAAATAATCAGTACTTTGCCAAATTGGCTATTTTGTCTGCCTGAGAGAAGCACTAGACCAAACTGAGTTTTCTCTTCCCCCGTGTGATATGCTTTCTGCTTAGGCTTTTGAGGTGGAGCAACAGTGACTTTGCCAAGTTCTTGCCACTTCACAGATCTCAGTGTGAAGTGAGTCTGCTCTGCTCACGTCTTCATGTCTCTTTAAATATGAGCTGGTTTGAGAGTCTGTCCCATCTTCAATTCTCTGGCTCTACTTCCAAACAAATGAATCTGCTAATCCACCCAGCTTCTCAGTTCTAGAGCCCTGTTACCACCTAGTTTCCACTAGGATGTCTCACAGTCTGCAGCCTTGACTTCCTCTCAGCTCCAGTATTTCCTCCTCCACAATTATTTCGTACATGTCCAATCAGGCACCCAAACTAAGTCTCTGTCCTGTTCTCCCTCCTTCTGTCATAAGCAGATTTGAACCTACACATAAGTACTCTTGGACTGTACTTTTACTATCCAACCTGAATCCAGTACCTAGAGAGCTGTCTTGCCCACTCTTACAATGGGAGGACCCAGAAGTCACCATCTATAAGTCAGATGGCAAATTCTCATCAAAGGCTGAGAATCTTTGGAAGGAGAAAGATCATGGAAGTGCTGTGTGATAGACTGAGTAGTGATGGGCTGAAGAATTATTGCAGTAGCTTTCCTATCAGTTCTATCTCTCTGTAGTCATTAAAAAAAAAAACTAAAATAGCATCATTTCAGAGGGTAAACACATCACTGTTCAAGTATATTGTCAGATTGTAATCTGTGCTAAAGTACATTGCAGATAGGTTCCCAAGACTCTGAAAGATGTAATCTTAAAAAAGAAGGCAGTTGAATAGAATTTAATGGACAAGACTTAAAAAACTGTGTTCATAGGTAGGGTACAATGATTGCATAAAAATAAGTTTGAACATGCATGATCCAAAAACTGCCTAAAATGTTCAGAGAACTCTAATAACTAAAACATAAGAGAATGGTTTGGTAAAATCTCAGAGGTTTTGCTTACTCAGAACAAAGTGTGGATCTCTAATTCAAACGGTTTCTCCTTTCTTTTTCCCTAGTCCTGTTCATTATGACTCAGCAAAACAAACTCTATGGAGTTCTGATGAAAATCTTCTAAATTAGTGAGAGTTGACAGGTTTAAGGTCTGAATCAGTTATCATAAAAGCGCAGGAAGAAAGTAACAGAGTCAGAAGCGGCCGAGATAAAGAGGATGTAGGAAAACAAGGAAGAACTGGAAGTCTGGAACTTTCTGAGGTCATACTTCGGGCACTGAGTTCTTTGGTGGAACACAATGCACTATGACTCGAGGAGGCAAATGGTGGCTACAGACATGCACTCTGCTTGGACAGTGAATCATAGTCACTGCCAGGCCCAGGGGCGAGAGCTGACTGACTCAGATTATGTATAAAATAAGAGCACTGGTTTAATAGGTTTGGCTATTTACTTTTCCATTTTGCCCCATAGGATGGATTTCAAGAGACAGAAAGTTTGACAGGGCAATCAAGTCTCAGCCCTGGAGACAGCAGGCAGGTTTAATTAAGAGAAGCCTGAATGGAAGAAACACAGGGAAGCACAATCATTCTTAGCTGGCAGATGGATCTGGAACCTTCAGAGATGGTGACTGACGGCACCAGTGTGTGGGCTGCCCCGGGACCTGAGAAAAGAAAGCGGAGGCCTTTGGGGTTCACTTTCCCCCAGCTGTGTATTCCTGCTTAGATGTGGGCATGCCTGGATTTGCCAGTTACCACAACGAGGAAGGCAGGGAGAGAAGGCAGGGAATTCAAGTCCCGGTGAATGCAAATAGACTGGTTATTTAAAACATCTTTCAGTGCCCAAGCATGGGTGACTTCAATGGTTACTTATTTAAAAGTGGAAATCTTGGCTCACTCCTTTGAATATCTAGCCAACTATTTCTTGAGTGTCTTCCCTGAGTCTGCTACTATGCAGGACATAGAAATATAGCCTAGATCTGAGTGTATAGCCAATGGGTCAGGTTCCTTAAAAAAGCCAAATCGAAAACCAAAACAGAACACCGTCGCTAACTCCTCAGGACTTCTCTGGCTTCTGAACTTTTATAATACATTATCCACAGCTTGCTAATCACCTAACTGCTCTCTTTCCTTATTTGCCCATATCTTATTTTCCTTAAGTTGACTACTAGATTCTTCACAACGGGATTACTACTACTTCATTTTTCATCATTTAGAGTGAGTATATGAAGTATACACACAAAAATTAATAAAATATTAAATACACTCAACCAATAGGGAAACACTAAAGTATTAAGTTCTATAAGAGGATGAGTGATTTTCCTCTTGATTTCATATGTACATTTAAAAAACATACATAGGAAACTTCTCTTACATTACACAATAAAAAGTAACTAAGAAACAAAATTAACCCCAGAAGTATCAGATGGAAAGAACAAGTGTGTATTTTAATTATGAGGTAAGATTACTTTAAGGACTATAAACATGGCATTATTTTTCAGAGACAATTGTTCCTGCATGGAGAAGCAGTAAGGGTGTACAGATATGTGTTTGACACTAAAATAAAGGTGTTTTCTCAAAACCTGGAGATAGGAAGAGCAGATCTAACTTCCACTTAGGGGAAATGAGATGTCGCTAGAAGCCATCTGTAACTCCAGCCATTATTCAGTTTTTGAAAGAAGGAAAAGAGTTCATAGAAACATGGTTTCCAAGAAATGCCTGGCTCCACAATTTTCTTTTCTACAGTGCCTTGTTTGTAGACATGATTGACAGCTGCCTTGGAATTCAAGGGTGGCCTTGAATACCTGATCTTCCTTTCTCCACCTCCTAAGTGCCGAGATTATAGGTGTGTGTAACTACACCTGGTTTTAAATATTTCATCTCTTGAATTTAAGGCAATATTAAACAGGATATGGATCAAAGGACCGAAAGACAAGACTTCAAAATGAGCATGCCATCCATCGCTCTCAATTCAGATGAAATGTCATTGGAAATCCAAATCTCTAAAATCGATTGCCTGTTCCCATGGCACTTATGCAACGCAGTCTCTTCTTGGAGTGCCTTGGGGAGATGAGGAAAGTGGGGTCAGAAGGGAAGGCAAACTGGTGTCATGATAATCAACTGGGGACTCCAGCGCTGTGGAGAGGCTCAAGATTCCCTGCTCCATCTGAGGTTCCAAACGGAAATTCTAAAAGTTGTTGTCCCAAAGATCATGACTCACTTTTCCTATTCACTTCCTGGATGTAAAATAACACTTTCTCTTTTGAACCTCCATCAACTGGACCCTGAGTATTAGTGAACATTTCCTTCGATATAGTCCTGACTTCTTTTCAGTAGGAGACATCCCTATGTTCAGCTGTTGGAATCAGCAGTACCAACTGTGTGAAAGCACTATAACTGACAGCTTTGAAAGGCACAGATAAATGTCTGCAAAGGAATAGTTCTCTACCGTAGATTTTAATACAAGGGATAGTATTGAGAAGTACTTGTTTAGAAGCTGCACTTTCAACACTTGACTGTTTCATTTTTATTTTGCTAAAACATATTTTTCCTCTCCTCCCTGTAATTCTTCTCATGCTGTCCCCTCTTAAATTCATGATGTTCTTTAATTATTGTTATCCGTGAACATACAATATACACACCCATAAATATAAATACAGCCTGCTTCACCCATTTACTGTCACACATATTCACAAGCTCTCCATTGGATAGAGCACTGATATCCAGAACATAGAGAACGATTACAAAAGTCCCCAGAGTAAAGAAGACAAATGAACCAACTAAACAACAGGCTACCAACTTGTCCTAGCCTGTTTCCGTTGCTGTGATAAACACCACAACCAAAGCAAACTGGAGAGGACAGGGTTCATTTCAGCTTACAGTTTCTAATCCATGGATGGAAGTCAGGGCAGGAACTCAAGGCAGGACCTTGTAGACAGGAATTGAAGCAGAGACCATGGAGAAATGGTGCTCACTCACTTGCTCCCTATGGCTGGCTCAGCCTGCATATATATATCTCCCACCAATAGTGGGTGGGGCCTTTCAACATCAATCATTAATGAAGAAAATGCCCCACAGACTTGCCTACAGACCATCCCGGTAGAGGCAATTCCTCAATTGATATTCCCTCTTCCCATATAGGTCTAGGTTCATGTCAAGTTGAGGAAAACCAACTGTACAAGTCCTCAACAGAGAGTTCTCAAAGGAAGAAATGAAAACGGCTAAAATATATCTTTATGTCAACATCCTTAGCAATTAGGGAGATGAAAATTTAAATTATTTGAGATTTAATCTTATTCCAATCAGAATAATTCCAATCTTATTCCAATAAAACAACTAACAACAGATGCCACCTGGATGTGGGAGAAGGGGAACACACGTTCACTGTTGGTTGGAAGGCAAACTGATGCCACCATGCAGTTCAGTGTGGAGAACTTGCAAAAAGCTGAAAATAAAACCACTATATGGCCCAGCTAGTCCCAGAATCCTCCATCTACATTGTAATCCAGGAATTTATACAAGGAAATGGACTATTATTAGCATTAAACATCTAGTTTAGTTACAAATATAAGTTCCTCATTTTAGGAAACTAAGAGTTGAGTATAAAATATTTAATGATATGTTATCTGCATTATATATTATGTTATTTTGAACATCATTAGGAAAGTTCATTGTTTCTTAAATACCTTGGTTATTTTTCTCTGATTGATTAAAACATTCTATAATTTGTAATGAAGTGTTATATACCTTAGGAATAGCAGATAAACTTACATGTATAACAGGACAGTTTAACTAGGAAGACTTACAGTTTTTTATGTGGTTAAAGAGATTAATCTCAATATTAAAATATTAAACATAGTCAAATAGATTTATCTAATTGGCACAGTGTTCTGTATATTGATATATCTGTTAGGAGATAGAAAATCAAACGCTTTAAATTGTATACAGCCATTTATATTCAGTATAGTAAATGAAAAAAATGTTCAGATAATACTCTAATTTGGCCTAAATAAATTTGATTATTTTATAAGCTAAACAGCGCTAATCACTGTTTGATACTAAAAGACACCAACAGCATGATGAACTTTGGTTCGTTTGGCTTTTAGGATTTTATTCATAATTCTTCAGTCAATATCTAATTAAAAGTGCATTGGGAAATGGAAGTTCTATAAAGAAAAAAGAATACTTAAGACGACGGTGATTTTCTGTCAAGATTCATGGCAAACCATTTAGCGACATTCATAAAACTAACAGCAAGAGCCACGAAAGTATCCTTTACAGGACCCTTTATGAGGAAAAGTCACTGCCTTGTCATTTAAGCCGAGGAGTTAGCGACTGACAAAGCACCGTCACCATCATTTGATCGTAACCATACAATATGTGTTGCAATAGAGGGCATGGCTCAGACGGTCTAATTGGAGGAAAATCATTCAAACGCAGTCTTTCCTGTGAGACTTGAAGGCCAGGGCTCTACAGCACGAGATAGATAGTAATTTTTCCACCACAGATGTTTTATTTCCCTAGACATAAGCACGAGTTTCACAAAATAAAAGTGAATAACATCTAAGTTTAAATTGGCCACCAGGTACGCTCAATACCTGAATGTGATGAGAAGCCAGGCAGTTTCGCCGCTCCTCAGAAAGCTGATGCTTGCCCGCTGTTACCAGCTTGGTCTTAGATGCATTGTTCTCTTCCAGTGTCCCCAGGGTCTGGTGTTGTCTGCCTAGCTCAGGTCAGCTTGCCCTCCCCACACCACCCATTTTACAGAGCTGCGGATTTGTGGGTGAAAGGTGCCATTTGTGGAATACCTGCTACCTCTTTAATCCCCACGAAAGCCCTAGGTGATAGATAATATCATGCTTGTTTCATACATGGCAGACTTTTGAGGCTTAGATATGGGAAACAACATTCAAAGCTAGTAAGTAATAGACACAAGACTCAGTCCTATGACTCCCCGGCTGACTTCAGAATCTAGATCCTAACGTACGTACATCCGCGTAATTGCGGTGATGTTTAACCACTGTTTGGTGAGGTCTTCATTACATCCCAAATCGTTTTCATTGTGATTTGTCTTGAGGAAACGAATATTTAACCGAACCCTCAAGTCAATGGCTCTTTCCCTTACGATGTGGTCATTTAATACACACTTTAAATGAAGAGACAGGGGGTGTCACGCAGGAGTCTAGTCATTTGCTAGGGTGGGGGATTCCTGCAGCTCAGGTCAAGTCCATGAGCTGGTTCTTTGGGAAAGGAGAGGGCAGGGTGGCCTCGCTACTCCAAACCTTCCCCCTTTACTCTTCCCCACCCTCCTCACAAGCTTACCTTGTCCAGGGAAAGAGTATTCTGAGAAAATTTTGATTCAAGGCAAACTCACACCAGAGTTAGGGCTGCACTGATGCACGCGCCCATTTGCCCTTCCCGACTATGGATTCAACTTTCTACGGGTCCCGCTCTCAACTTCCCGCCACAGCCCCAGCGGGGGTCTTCCCCTCCACCTCCAAGTTCACCTGCTATGATCACGCCGGGTAGAGGAGGCTCTTGCGATCGAGCTGCGCGGAGCCCGAGGTGGCGAGCGTCCCTCGCTGTAGCGGGGAGGCGGAGCTGCCTGCGGTGTCTCGGCGTCCTAGTCATTCACCTGCTCCTGGTTGAAGCCGGCGGGGCGGAGAGCACATGGCTGGCCCCACCGTGCAGCTCCCGGGCACAGCGAGCGAGCGCCAGCAGCAGTTAATTATTGCTAGGTTGCCCATGGCAGTGGGGTGTGAGCAACCTGAGCCACGCCCAGCGCCTCAGTGCATGTTGGGAGTGTTTACTCTCTCTCCCCAGGCGCGGGCAGGTGCACTGCTCTCGGTCACGGTTCTGCAGAAGTGGAACTGACGTTGGGGACCTTTGTCAGCAACGTCAGGTTGCGTGATTTTCGCCAGCCAACCTGTGCTGTATGTCGAGAAACGACAGCAGCTGGAACTCTGCGTTTTGTTTTTGAAAAGTTAATTCGTCTTTCAGCTTGAAATTCCTTAATTTTCTTTTACTTGGTCTTGGCTTCCCCATTCCTTACCTGCACCTTCCCTTCGTACACAAGGCATTTCTTTCCCCTCACACCCTTAGGGTGAGCCAGAACGTTCACGTTCCAGGCAGTTTGCAACACCAGGATATCTGCTTGGCCTGACCATCTGACTTAGTGGGTCCTGGGTAGGCATATTATTATTATTATTATTATTATTATTATTATTATTATTATTATTATTATTATTTTATATTGTTAAGCACCACAGAAGCATCTGGTAACCAGCATTTCATCTGCTGAATTGGGTGTGGGAGGTTTACTTTTTTACCTTCAGTTTCAAAAGGAACCCAAAAGATAAACAGATGACAGACGTTGTGGAAATAGTGTTTTTATTCACACACACACACACACACACACACACACACACACACACACTTAATAAAACTATTATTTGTACCTTTCTTTTTGTATGTAAGAAAATTATTGACAGTTTTTTAAAAAATAGATTGTTTTTCAAGGGTTAAGTTTTTGAGCTTACAGAAAGGAATTTAATGAGTTTTCAAGAGAAGATGTGACAAAACTGACATGTGGTGTCCTCTGCTGGAGTGCTGAATAAACCGAGTGATTGACAGTGACGCAGAGTCACAGTGCTTGTTTGATATGTCTTTGATATGTCTTTATGGTGTCTTCCACAGGATTCTACTCAAGCAGAAAGGATCAGACAGTTGAGGTAGCCTTTCGAAAGTGAAGAAGACCAGGGGCTTTGAGATTTACCAGGTCTTGGTCAAAAGGGGTACTGGACCCAGTCAGTCCAAGTATGAAGAGTCCTGTGTAAGGCCGGGCCCTATATTCTTTGTGCTAATTTGCCCACAATGGCCCACGATCCCCTGGTGTGTGGTTACTAGTGAGGACTGACCTTTGGATGATAAGGAACCAGGACCTACAGTGTTTACAGCAACCGCTTCTAGAACGTGTAGCTCAGATCGTGGCTCCGCCCAATCACCTGTGCTGGAAGGGATCGCCTGTTTATTTTCAGTGTCTGGGCACCATTGTGCTTCTGCCTGTATCTGCAGCCTTCCAACTGGACCCCCTTTGACCTTCAGGTGCTTTATCCTTGTGTAGATGTACAGTTTTTCTTTGTCATGTAAGACCATGTAACATGTACATTGTGGAAATTTTAGAAAACATAGAAATGAGAAGAAAAACTCTATAAATTTATCTCTGAAATAAAATTATTGTGAGCAATGGGCTGACGTCTTGACCGACTTGGTTGCTCTATGAACATATCGAAACGTGGCTGCATAGCTTGTTGTTTTATGACCTGCTTTTATCTCATAAAGGATATCATGAACAATTCACCATATGTCAACTCGGGCTATTATTTTTCTTACAATGTGTTTTAACTAGCAGCACTGTCATATACCATATGCACAGACCATTATTTATTTAACCGGTTCCTCATTGTGCGAAAGTTTTACTACCAAACAACAACTACAGCAGCCAATGCTTGTGTGTAATTGCACCTAACTGTGATTACAATCTTCAGAATGAAGTTGCAAGATGAAAAGTAGTGCATATTTTGAATTATTTTTACATTTATTTTACTTTTATTTTACGTGCATAGGTGTTCTGTGTGTGTGTGTGTGTGTGTGTGTGTGTGTGTGTGTGTGTGTGTGTGTGTACACCACCTGCCTCCGGTGTCTGAAACTAGAGAAGGGCGTTGGATCCCCTGAGAGTGGAGTTACAGACAGAAGTTAGTCACCACGTGGGTGCTGGGAACAGAATCTGGGTTCTCCTCAAGAGCAAGCAGCAAGTGCTCTCAATGGCTGAGCCATCTCTCTAGAGCCTAAAAAAAAAAATTAAATCCAAAGAATGATTTATCTTTTTATAACCATAAGGCAATATGCTATCATGAGTTATTATACTTCTTTCAATTGTTTATCAGTTTGAAAGTTTTTTTTTTTTTTTCGTTTTTCGAGACAAGGTTTCTCTGTGTAGCTTTGCGCCTTTCCTGGGACTCGCTTGGTAGCCCAGGCTGGCCTCGAACTCACAGAGATCCGCCTGGCTCTGCCTCCCGAGTGCTGGGATTAAAGGCGTGTGTCACCACCGCCCGGCATCAGTTTGAAAGTTTAAAATCATATTTTATTTTATTTTTTGAGACAAGGGCTCACTCAGTAGCCTCCACCTTTCAGCTCTTTGCTTCATTCTCTTGAGTGCTAAGTTTATAGGTGTATGCCACCATCCTCAGCTGATACCTATTGTAAATATGTGCAGAATTAGTTACTAGTAACACTGAAGTATTTCTCTACATTTACCTTGTAGTTTCACTTTAGAAAAAGTACTCTTTGCTCATCTTCCACTTATTGACTTAAAATGTGTCTTTACATATGAAGCATATCAGCTCTTCATTGTGTATGCTGTAGCTTAATTTCCTAGGCTATTTGTCTTGTTTATGGTGCTTTTGACATACAAAAGTTTAAAAATTTAAATAATCAAATCTATTAATTTTCAGTTATTTTGTAATTGAGTTTAATAAAACTTTTATGTACATATCTGTATCTTTTCTTCTAGGTTTTCCTCAGATATTATTTATTCATCAAATTCTACCCATCTGGATTTTTTACATTAAAACCATGAATTTTAAATCCTAACTTCATTTTCCTAAGTTTCTCAACTATTAAATAAGCCATATTTATCAAATAATACAAAGTATTGATTCCATATGAAGGCAAAGATCCTGTCTATATTTCTATTTCATCCCCTAGGCTTAGTATGGGGCTAGGCAAGCCCAATATTGGTCAGCCCTTAGTTCCTTTCTTTTCCTCCTCCCATGCCCAGCAAATTGGCAAGTCCTGATGTCCTTTCTCTGCTGCTCTCCCCCTACATCAGTCCAGCAGTTCTGCGGAAGGACCCTTCTGTATGCTGTGAATGTATGTTGCTCTCATTGGTTGATAATAAAAGCTGATTTGGTCTCTAGCCAGGCAGAATAAAGCTGAGTGGGAAGGTCAGCTGGAGATACAGGGAGAAGAAGGGTGGAGTCAGGAGTCGCCAGCCAGATGCAGAGGAAGCAAACTGAGAGTGTCATATTGAGAAAAGTTACCAAGCCATGTGTCATAGATAAGAATTATGAGTTAATTAAAGTGCAAGAGCTAGTTAGTGATAAGCCTGAGCTCTGGCTAAGCATTTATAAGTAATATTAAGCCTGTGTGTCAAGTATTTGGGAAGCGACTGCTGGGTATTTGGGAGCTGCTGGCGGGACAGAAACTTCTACCTACAAGCATGGTCCTGGATTGGATACTATAGTGATTGGTTTCTCTGCCCTTACTCTGCCCTACTATAGTTCATTCTCCACCTCAGGATCTTTTAGAAAGCATTTGGATCACATCACAATGACTTCCTTTGCTGGGAGCCTTTTTAGTGGTTCCCCCATACATGTGCGATGACATCTAAATTTGAGCTCCTTGCCAAGACATAAAAGACCTTGCTTGGCCTTCTCTGGCTAGTTTGATTCTCTGCTGCCTGTAGGCTTGCTATTCAGGGTTAGTTTTGCTCCTGGGAAAGACCAAGCTTGTTCTTCCTTCACATCCTTTGATTCTATGTTTGCCAAGAATCTCTGCTCTGGTCACAGCGTCTTCTCATTATTCTAATTTTTCCTCAGATACCAGTTTCTCAGAGAGGCCTTCCTGATGACAGTCTTTTGAGGGAAGTCTCCATTCTTTTTCTATCACAGCACCCAGTTTTGTTGTGCTCATGGCAGTTATCATTGCCTAAATGAATTTCACATTTCAGGTTAGTTCTTTATCTTACATCTCCTCCCATTAAAATATAAGCTCTAAGAGAGCATGGATAGAGGTTTGATACGGTGATAGGGTAAGCTTTGCCATTAAAATCCTCCCTCCACTTCTAATTGGCTCTCTCTGTGTTGTGCTTTCAGTCAGGGATGTGAGCTCACAGACTCCTGCTTCTGTTGACATGCCCGCAGCTTGCTGCCAGGGCTCCCAACCATGACAGACTCTCATCCCTCTGGAACCATAAGCTCAAAGTAACCCCTCCTTCTCTAAGTTGCCTTTGTCATGGCCACAGAAATGGAAAAGTCACTAATACAGGTGGCCTGTGTTTGGTGTCCAGCTAGCGCCAGGCCCATGCCGGAGGCTCAAGAAACCTTGCACTGACTCATAATGATGATGGTAAATATGTATTGAGTAAACAAATGTGCATCATAATGTTTCCTCATTTGAGGTGGCACTTTATTCAATAAATAAATATACATTGGAACTAGAATTTATATTCTCTTTTATGGCCATGTATCTGCAGTGTTTCTGTTACCATCAGCTCCATAGAACAACTCAACCTGACCACTTCTAAAAATTTCTTGGTTATTTTTGCTTCGATTACCACAAGTGATAGCTTCCTTTAGACTACTATGAGTTAAGTGGATATTTGCTCTATTCACCATAAAGCATTATCAAAATCTTTTAGGACTAGTGTACTTATATTAGCAACTGATAATTTCATGTTGAAGAAAGGCTCCTAAAGTACAGTGTTTACTTGGTTGTTGAGTTTTTTGATTGTTGTTGTTTTTAAATATTAGATTTTTGACATAAGTGTTGGAATGACTGTAGTAATGGTTCCGATTTGTTTATCTTCACCTCTACCTCCATCATGTTTTCTTTGGAAGAATTTAGCTGCACCAATTCTGGGCTTAGCCATGATACTGGCTTTGGTCTATGCATCAGTACCAAACAAGGCTTGAATGATTTCATTTTTTTTTATTGGGTCTTCCTGCTTGTTGCTCTTCAAACTCCCAATGATGATATGAATGAGTCTGGGTTAACATATGGAATGACAGGGACCCTTGG